AGATCAATCTGAATTTCATGAAGCGACGAGAATACTTTGTTTGCAAAGAAAACAAAAATAATGACTTTATTCATCAATTTGTCTCCTCTGCGTCACCGTAGCACCATTTTGGAGAGTATCCACTGAACGCAAACTGCGTATAATTTTCTACTTGTCTGTGTCAGCCGCACCACACCGATACGTTTTCTACGTTTATTTACGCTTTGATTTGAACGAAAACAGCGTATCCGTGTGGTGCGGCTTACACAGATACTCTCCAAAATGGCGCTACGGTGACGTGGAGGAGACGAATTGTTGAATAAAGTCGTTATTTTTGTTTTCTTTGCATACAAAAAGTATTCTCGTCATTTCATAAAATTCAGATTGAACCACTGATGGCAGATGGACTATTTTGACGATGTCTTTCATACTTTTCTGGGCCTTGACAGTGTTATTTACTTGGCAGTCAATGGGACAGTCACAAGCCTCCCGGTTTTCATCCAAAATATCTTAAATTGTGTTCCGAAGAAGAACAAAGCTTTTATGGGTTTGCAACGACATGGGGGTAAGTGATTAATGACAACATTTTTATTTTGGGGTGGAGTAACCCTTTAAAGTCAAACACATTTTTAGCAGAGTATCTATGAGCTGTAAAGGCACAGCCCTATTCTGGAAAAGGGGGTGGGGCGCAGCAGCTCATTTGCATTTAAAGAGACATGCACGAAAACATGTTTCTGCTTCCACTCAAAATAGGCATTTTTAAAATGATATAATAATCTGTGGGGTATTTTGTGCTGAAACTTCACAGACACATTCTAGGGACACCTGAGACTTACAGTGGTGTGAAAAAGTGTTGGCCCCCTTCCTGATTTCTTATTTTTTGCATGTTTGTCACACTTTAATGTTTCAGATCATCAAACAAATTTAAATATTAGTCAAAGATAACACAAGTAAACACAACATGCAGTTTTTAAATGAAGGTTTTTATTATTAAGGGAAAACAAATTCCAAAACTACATGGCCCTGTGTGAAAAAGTGTTTGCCCCCTAAACCTAATAAATGGTTGGGCAAACCTTAGCAGCAACAAATGCAATCAAGCGATTGCGATAACTTGCAATGAGTCTGTTACAGCGCTGTGGAGGAATTTTGGTCCACTCATCTGACAAACATGCAAAAAAATAAGAAATCAGGAAGGGGGCCAACACTTTTTCACACCACTGTATATTACATATTATAAAAAGTGGCATAATAGGTCTCCTATAAATCAGGCATGCAATAGCACTGAGAAGGCTATAATATAGGAGGAAATATATTTTGTATAAGATATTTGTCATTCAGTCTATAAAGAAATTTATTTTATATGTGAAATAAGTTTACAGGTGCATCTCAATAAATTAGAAGACCATTTTGAAGGCTCAGGAAACCTTTGCAGGTGTTTGAGTTGATTAGCTGATTGGCATGTCACCATATTCTAATTTGTTGAGATAGTGAATTGGTGGGTTTTTGTTAAATGTGAGCCAAAATCATCACAATTAAAAGAACCAAAGACTTAAACTACTTCAGTCTGTGTGCATTGAATTGATTTAATACATGAGTTTCACAATTTGAGTTGAATTACTGAAATAAATGAACTTTTCCACGACATTCTAATTTATTGAGATGCACCTGTATATTTCAAGGGTTTTTAGTTTTAGACATGATTTAATTTTGAGTTATATTCTAATGATTTTTCCCTTGTTTGTTGCAGTGGATGAGTACATTGCTATAGCCAAAGAAAAACATGGGTACAATATGGAGCAGGTAAAATGATTATGATTGAAAGTTATGCTTATTTGTTGCATTGAAAATGATGAACTTGAAAGTTTAATTTTTTTTTTCTAAAGGAAAATATATTTTTGTTTTTATATTGTTTTATATAAAGAAAATTAACACATTCTACTCTTATTAAATGTACCATTATTCTTCTATAGTATTATACAGAACTGACAGACAACTTCAATGATTATAAAAGGAGCACTCTTGCTTTGTGTGATTCAGTCGCAGAGAAGTTTGTTTTTCAAGGCACTTTGTGACTTTTCTTACTACATACACAAAAAAAGAGCAAAACCTTTACAAAATTTGATTTCTTGATGATTTGATATTTTATTATAGTAATTTTATAATTTCAAAACAAAGCAAAAAGTAGAAATGAATGACTAATAAGCCTATAAGTGCCACTCTGCTGGTTATAGTGGTAATTTGATGTCTTTTTAAAATTTATTTTAAATTTTACATAAGTGTTTGTTTACCACAAAGTATATTTTTGTCATCCCTTTAAAAATAAAATAAAATTGGATAATTTTTAGAGTTTTAAAGTGTGTAAATAAATTAAATAGTCATTCAAAAGGTACAAACCTTGAAATGCATAATGAAATGAAATTCGACTATTTCAATCACAACACCATGGTTATGGTTAGTGTTACTACTTCTGGTTTTCTACGTAAGTGCTGTTTGAACTGTTTATAACAGAATTCTGTGTAGAATTTGAATGTTTCTCATTAGATATTGCATAGACATGTGCCGGTATTCGGTGATGCGATATATCACAATAATGAATATGCACGATATTGTTATCGTGGGCACTTCAAAATACCGAGAATAATTATTTATTTCAAATTATTCAGAATTTTGAATGCATTTTAAGAACACTTTTCCCATCAACTGGTTACAATGCACAACCGCTGTATACTGCGTCAAAGACGCATGCGCTCTTTCATGTAAACAAGCACGGATGAGAAGCTCATGGCGGAACTCGTGAGAGACGCTCTGGAAGAAAGCACATTCACTCTGACAGCAGAAATGCAGCCGTTACCCCGGAAACCCCATAAACAAAGCAGCTGCGCTACATTCCGTTTCTGAAACGTATTTAAACAGCCATTCAGATTTGTGTATTCGCTATGGTGTTCATCACAGTGCCAAATACTTAAATATTTAGACTTAATAGGCTATTTATTTTCAAACTTTTTTACATTTTAATCTGGACTACAACATGTTTTGATTCTTTATTGTTCGGTCACACTTTACATTAGGGCTTCATTAGTTGACATTAGTTAATTCATTAGTTAACATAAACTGCCAATGAAAAATTCTTCTAAACATTCATTAATCTTAGGTAATTCCAATATTTAATAACATGATCTTAAAATCAAAAGTTGCAACTGAGCTAACATGAACTAAGAGTTGTATTTTTGCAAACGTAGCTATTGTTCATTGTGAATGTCAATGCATTAATTAAGGTTAACTAATGAGATCTTATTGTAAAGTGATACCTATTGGTCTTATAATTCTTTTGCACTTTAATCTGTGTAAAATGTTTAACTTTTATACATTTTTTTTTGCGTATTGCTTTATTGTATTGAAATGATCAGTTATTTTTGTTATAAGAAAGAAGTTATTAAACCTGTTATACTGTATTATGACCACTTTTTTTGCAACTAAATTTAATATCGTGATAATACCGCATACCGTGATAAAAACATGAGCAATTAATCGCAACATGAAAATTTGATACCGGCATATCCCTAATCTTGCAGCAACTTTTTTTCATTCTGCGGCGAGTTCAAACGCTTCTCACTGGATCTCGCAGCGCTGTGCAGTAACAGTGTCGTGAGATCAACGCAGGTTCCTGAGTAAACCTGTTCTGAGCACGGACGAGTTTGCTGCACTGCTCAAATGAGTAGTGTGGGTTCGTTACGCTTTTGTTGCGCTTGCCATTTGATGTTCCTCATATGCAACAGAAATGGCAGCGCTTATGACGTGGGTGCGCCAGTGCGACCGCTCACAAAATTTAGTCACACTGGCAGAAAAAAATGGTCGAGAAATGTCTGGAGCCCTGCTGCATTAATTAAATGTCCCTTGTAGTTACAGTTTCACGGTGTCAAACATAAGTCGTCTTTTAAAGTCTGACATTTCAAATAGTTTAAGTTTCTTTCCATTGGAGTCTCATGATGTGGCTTTCTGTATTTAACAGGCATTGGGCATGCTGTTTTGGCACAAACACAACATTGAAAAATCTTTGGCAGATCTCCCCAACTTCACCCCTTTTCCAGATGAGTGGACAGTTGAAGACAAGGTGCTGTTTGAACAGGGTTTCAGCTTTCATGGAAAGACGTTTCACCGCATCCAGCAGATGGTGAGTGAGATGACTGAAACCACTCTCAACATTAAAATAAAACATGCAATTGAAAGAAGCAGCATCTTCATGTATTGAAGTGACAACCAATCATAAGGAGCCTCAGAAATCCAGCTCATTAATGGACAGTCACTGGTGCATATAAAGACCAAATGGGTTCTGTCAAGTCCTACATTTGAACACTTTGACTGTTACAAATGGATCGGTGTCAGCTTTGATCATGAATAATGATGTATCCTTATGGTATGTCAGATGTTTCCATCACTTATGTGTTTGATTACAAACAAGTTTTTTTTTTGTTCCAGCTTCCAGACAAGTCAATTGCAAGCTTGGTTAGATTCTATTACTCGTGGAAGAAAACGCGCAGTAAAACGAGTGTGATGGACCGCCATGCGCGCAAACAGAAGAGAGACAGAGAGGAGAGGTCAGCTATGGCATGAAGTTATTAATAGGATTTTTGCTGTCTCCTTTTGTGTTTTCTTTGGTTTTAAAAGTCTTGATCAAAGATGAGTTGTGCTGTCATGGAATGCTAGCATGATCTATTTTTAGAATATGTTGCCATTGTTGAAAAGGAAATGTCATATTTGAAACTTTTAATCCTTTTTTTCCATGTAGTGATGATGGAGAAGAAAATAATTGCATCTCTCCAGGGGATGCAGAATTGGAGCCAAATAAGGATGAGAAGAAAGAGGTAATATAAATGGACATTTTTTTCTGCACATTTTTACAACTTTTCAGTTGTGCATTAACATTAGATGATTCTTTTAAATTAAAATAAAACTATATATTAAATAAAATCCTATTAATACTTTAGGTTATACTTTATTTTACGATGGCCTTCTTACAGCGTAATTGTACATTTAAGCACTGAGTAATAGTAATTAACTACATGTACTTACTATATGGTTAGTGTTAAGATGAGGGCTTGGTTAGTTGTATGTAATTATGCATAATTTATTGTTAATACTATAGTAAGTAAATGTAACGTGACAAGGACAAATAAAATAGTGTTACCATATTTTATTATTAATGTAATTTTTTTTTTTTTTGCATTTATCTTTGAACTTTTCATTTTTTATATTTTATTTTATTTGGATATATTAACTTTTGTCAGTGCTGCTACACTTAACTTATAAACCATCTACCTCCATAAAAAAATATTTGTTCTCTTTTAAGGTTACGCCTGGACCTGAGAAACAAGATTCAAAACCTACAGTTGTGCAGAAGGTACAGTACTAAATATGTATTTCTATATATTTCTATTTCTATTCTATCTACTTGTTTTCTTTTTATTTATTAAAAGAAAAAAACTTGACCATCTACTAGCGTTCTCTGTTCTTTTTCTATACTATCTGCGTGTTCTCTTTTTAATTATTGTAAAAAAAATAAATAAATACTAATAACTTGACCCTCTAACACTAGCTCTATTCTATTTTCTATCTACTTTTTATTCTTTGTATTTATATATATATATATATATATATATATATATATATATATATATATATATATATATATATATATATATATATATATATATATAAAACTTGCTGAATGTACTGTTAGACTAACCGGGACTTGTCACAGCACTTATATATTGTTGCTCTTTTGTTGGTTTGATTGCTTCTATTGTCCTCATTTTTAAGTCACTTTGGATAAAAGCGTCTGCTAAATGATTAAATGTAAATGTAATGTTTTTTAAATCTATTGTTTTGTTAATATGGAATGCTCATTGACTGTACATAAGTAGTAAATCTACATCAATAAACACAATTTAAATCAGTCACCGATTTAAATAGCTCTGTTTTCGCTGTTTTTGTACAGCCAGCAAATCTTGCAGAAAAGTCAATGCATGTTAAGAAAGAAGTACAGGGACTTGCTGGGAGGAACCTACACAGGGCAAAGAAGAAACCTCCTAAAGGAATGCATTTAAACTCTGATGATGTGGCGGCAATGTCTAGCAGCGGCCCGGCTGCAGTTAGTGTTCTGAGACAGCTGGATATGGAGGTCATTGCCATAAAACGACAGGTTAGCGTTTTATTACTTCTTAGTCACTTCTTTATCACTTTCATCTCAGTGAGACTATTGGTAGAACTAGATGTAAATCTGACAGAGAGCAATGTAGTTTTGAAGTATGTGACAGTCTAAAACTGAAAAGTTTGAAAAATAACCTCTTTTTACAGATTCAGAGCACTAAACAGCACAATAGTGCCCTCCGAGAAAAGCTGGACACAGGTGTGGATGAGTTTAGGCCATCTGAGGTAATAATATTATTTAGAACTACTTTCCACCACAATTATTTCATAGAGGGCCATTTTTACCATTTTTATGCATTTTATTCACAAAAGGATATGCAGTAAATGTGCTTTGTTTTCCTCAGGCTAATCAGAAATTTAATACCCGCTGGACCACAGAAGAGCAGCTGCTTGCAGTACAAGGTATTTTGCCTATATTTGGCCACATTTCTCACATGTTTGCGGGGCTTACTGGATAATGAGTGATTATTTAAATGGCAAGTTTTAAGTAATGAAATTCTGGACAATCGTTGGTTTCCTCTCTCAGCTATAAGGAAGTACGGGCGGGATTTCCAAGCCATTTCTGATGTGATCGGCAACAAGTCAGTGGTTCAAGTGAAAAACTTCTTTGTGAATTACCGGCGTCGCTTCAACCTGGATGAGGTACTGCAGGAATGGGAAGCTGAGCACGGTGTGGAGGGACGGAAGGGTTTAGATGAAGAGAAGATGGAGGTGTCATCCGAAGAGGGAACCACCCCGGGGCCTTCAGAAAACCAGGCAGAGGTCAGTTTCCCATCAGTACCTCTTAGTTAATGGGCTTTTCCACCAAAATGTGGCTTTAGATTCCAGTCAGGCTGGAAATTCTCAGTCTAATTGAAGTATTTTTTCCTGCATCTGGTTTTGGTTTATCAATGTCATTCGAGAATAATCATCAAATCATCATTTTCAGGAACCAACGGCAATGGAAACACAGAACCCTTCAGTTTCGTGAGTTCTCCAACAGCGGTCAGACGAGCTCAGATCAGTTAATATCGCAGCTGTGCGTAAGACGCATTAAGGCTTCAGTTGCCTCAAGTGAAGCCTCTTCGTAATGGACATTCCTCCCCCATCCCTGTCCCTCCAACTCCCACCCCCCTATTGAACCCAGGACTCTCACAGAAGCTACCGCATAGGAGCGCAAACTTCACCAAGCTACTCTACGGAACTAGGATCATCACTGCCAACAGAAGTAGAGATCTTGTCTGGTCTCTACCAGTCTGGTGCTCCAACAGTTATATTCTCCACAAATGGTAATCGGTCTGTTGTGGGGGGAATAAAACACCCATATATATACCCATCCCAACGTCATTGGACAGAGAATTGTGACCGTGAAAGATCTCTTAAGGAGTCTGAAGGAGTTTAATGTCACTTGACCATCTCTCTTTCTTGATATAAACATAGGACTTTGACTTGGTCCTAGTCCAACATCCCTTTCCAGTTACTTTTTTGTTATTGTAGCATATTATATGCATATTATAGTTATATGATTTGCTATTTTAAAATAGTTTGGGGGGTTAGTTGATCTCTGGTTGGATTAAGCTATTTATTTGCATAAAAAGTGAATTATACGAACTGCACTGTATAGATGCAGTGAAATGCCAGTGTAGATGAAATTTAAACAATTTTAATACCAATTTTAATATTATTAAAAATGAGATGATTTGCAGCTCTTATATTGTCTAAGTGAGTTGGTTTAGTATTAGGTCGTAATATATATACTGTTTAATCATGGACCCTTGTACATGGTGTTTTTGAAATGCATTTTATCTCAAAAGGTTTCTTGGCTGAAGCTGTTGACTGTAAGAACAGGCACAGCAGAGTGTTGTAACAGAATGGGAGGTATTTTTTGTTCTTGCTCGGATTTTTTAAATCTCATTTCGAACTGTGTTTTGCATGCATGAACAGTTTCTTCTTCATGCCAAGGTCAAGCTTTTCACCCTCTTAGGGGTGTCTAAACGTATATGGATCGCCATGTGTAGGTAAGAATTTCAAAATATGGCAGCACATCTACATTTCTACTACTATTCCATGCTTGTATGTGTTTTTCCACACATCCTAATTTATTATGGTGTTTGGAGATAAATGTTAGATGGGTTCATATTGTTTGTTTTTTGTTTAATTTGAAAATGGAATAAGTTATTTAAAATACATACACTCTCACTTGTTTCGACCAACTTTTTCCCTCTAATAACTGTAATGGTACCATACATGTGTGAACTCCTTTTTAAACTTATTATGCGTGCAGATAACATGTACACGGTTGGGGTGAAGTTCTGTGTGTCTGCGTGTGTGGGTGGGAGCTAATTTGGTCATAGACTGGCCCGTATATGTAATCAGTTTGTCACATTAGTCATAATAAACTTAAGGGATTTATACTGTCAAATGCATTGAGTGTTATTCAACCTCTGTACATCACATTTTGTTATATTTAGGCCATTAATTTTCAATATTAAATTGCAGTGGTAACACATTTTCACTGTATTGTCTTTATATGTTATATACTAGTGTTTTCCCTCAATAAACTCTTACTTGCTGCTTATTGATAGTTGTTGTAGTAGTTATGTTTAGGTATTGGGTAGCGTTAAGGGATTTACAATGCAGTCATGCAGAATTAGGCAATATGTATGCATTATTAGCATGCAAAATATGCATGCTAATAAGCACCTAGTTAATAGTGAATATTGTTCCCTAATCTAAAGTGCTACCATTTTTATTTGTGATGAGAAGCTTGGAAGACTATTGGTGGATCTCAGTAATAAAGGACTTGGCAAAAATGTATGAATTTAACAAACAACAACAACAACTCTGGGTTGTATTTTACCACAGATTGAAGAAAAAAAACATTTGCATGAAGAAAATTAAGATTTATTTACATTGTATGATATTGTTACAACAATTCAGTGTATTTCCATTCAGAGTTCTCACTGTAATGTGAAAAAAGTCATTGCCATGATGCAAAGGAAAAATATTTGTTGATGTTGATACTTGTAATAAAATATTGTAGTAATTGTATTGATATAATAAAAAACACCTATAATTTGAGGAATTTAATAATAGTAATAAAAATGTGAATAGTACAGTACATCGATGCTGTTATTTTAGTATCACTAGGAATTTAATAATAGTAATAAAAATGTGAATAGTACAGTACATCGATGCTATTTTAGTATCACTGAGATACCAAGTTTTTATTACAGTTTTGAATTAGTTTTTTATTATTTTTACGTTATCTGTTTAGTTTTTTTTAGTTTTAGCATTTTAGTAGTTTAGTTGTGTTTGTCATTATTTTGTTAATATATTCATCCATATAGTGGCTTGTCACACACACACACAAAACAACAACAAAATAATTTGTTCCATCAAAAGTAATCACAAGTGTCGTACAGGTGTCCTAGAACAGAATCAGTTTAGACTCCTTCAACTTACTCGATATGTCAGAAGATTTGAACAGTAATGCATGCATCTCAAAGTTCATCACCTATTAGAAACACGTGGATAAGAGCAGCTGAAGTAAAAGCGATTCTATCACGGATTGGCATGAGCTTTGGCTCCACCCAGCGGCCAGACGCCACACCGCAGCCTATTCTTTCGCTATGGCGTCCTTTTACAACCAGCTACGATTTTTTTCATGACGGGGATTTCCTGAGGAAGTCAGACCAAGGGGGCTTTCCAGTCACTAGACTTAACATCAACAGCACCCTGCCATAGTGGCGGCTTCTACCTTTTCGTGTACCTCAACCGAGTCGTTTTTGGAACATTCCGATGTCAAAATGACCCGATTTGATCCTACGGCCGTTGTAGCCTGTTTGAGAAGCGAGGACGGATCTGTGGCCGCGTAAATTTGGACGTTGTTGTCTCGGTGTGTCTGTCATATGAGTGGACCATCCGTGGCTCCTTTCGTGAAATTCTTCAGAGAAACACGGTTGGATCATCGGACGACATCGTTGACCAACTGATTCATGTAAGTGGATGGCTATTTCACAGATCCACATGTAAAATGTGTAGTTCATGTTAGTGAAAGGTAAGATTAGGCAAACCCAAAGTCTATGGGTTCACCTAACGTTACAGTAAAGTGTGTCTTGCTTTGATCTGAGAGGTTCACCTGCTCTCATTACTGTCTCCTGGACCAACAGGGATATCTTTTGAGTTCTGATTCTTGAAGTTGTGAAACACGTTAGGCTATCAACATGTTAACAGGTTAAATCCTGAACAGCTGCTTTACAAATTCATGATAGATGATTGTGCTGCCATTGCTGGTAGAAGACCTTCTCACCTTTGCATGTATGTGTGTGGTGTACTTTCCACTTTTGCTTTTATTATGAGCACAATTGTGGTCTTTTTACATTTAAAGGTCTATAAATTCCACATGTACGTTTTATATAGGCTTTGTTGTATAGAAAGAGCTTATGGTCTTTAAACTAAAGCCTGTATAACCTTCATACAGTGTGATCTTTAATGTTTCTGTGGTCTTATTCCTTGGGGGCAATACCTAACTTAAAAAATTCTTGCATGATTTAGGCCTGTAACGTTACGCTACTGATGGAAAAAACCATGATGGCATACTGTATTCCACTGTTGGATGCAGTTTATGAGACAGAGAATGGGTGTACTTCTGTCTTGCATATCATATTCTAATCAGAAAGGATTAGCTTCTGTACTCATTTAGTTTTAAATGTAGATTGACCAGTACTGATTTTTAACAGCAAATATGATAAACCTATATGTAGAATCGATATTTAATTGTTTTATGTATGCTTTTTTGCACAGTGTTTTCTACAAAAAACCACACAAACATAAAACACAGTATTTGAGAAATATATTATTAAACGCGTATAAATAGATGACATAAGCCCAACTTCTTCCTTTGCATTTTCACATAAAGTTTTACCCATCACACCTTCATCATATGTTCACATCTGAAATGCTGTTTTATTCCTGTAAGTGACCTAAAGAAGTCACAAATGTCTTCCTCTAGTAAAAGGTCAGGCCAGAAAGAGGTGATATTCCCCTTCTTACTTCTCTTTCATTTTTGTTATGAGATCTCCTGCAGTGCAAATACATTCAAAGAATCTGTATTACCTTGACGCTCCTCAGCTCTAAACTAACAGTCTGAAATGTATTGTGTTACACTTTTCACCTGCAGCCCTCTCTGGTATTATGTTCTTTATGAGATGGATGCTTGCTTAACGCTAGCATTGCTTAGTCTTGTCTCATTCGTTCTTGGTTTTAAGTCGCATGTTTTAATTATTTAAACTATAAATGCACTGATAATATGGGACACATTTTTGTCCTTTATCTTGCTTTTTGGGAATTTTACCATTAAAAAATAGCTTACCTAAAGATGAAAATCCTGTCTTTATTTACTTACCGTCGTTCTAAACCTGAATGACTTGAATGTCTCTATAAAGTGAACGTGAATGGTGAAACGGTTCATTCATTGAATGGAATAGAGAGTCTTAGACATTCTGCTAAACATCTCCTTTTGTTTGGAATATGAGGGTGTGTAAATGATTTTTGGGTGAACTATCCCTTTATGTCTTGGACTAGGTCACAATTTCACTAGATCACAAAAAAAGTTATTTTTCACCATGAAGTTAACTTAAACTGTGCTATTATGAAGCATTTACACTACTATTCAAAAATCTGAGGTCAGTCATTTAGTTTTTTGTTGTTTTTTGATATATTACTGCATTTTATTCTGCAAGGACACAATAAATTGATCAAAAGTGACAGTAAAGACATTTATAATGTTGCAGAAGATTTGTTTCAAATAAATGATGTGCTTTTGAAATTTGTATTCATTAAAGAACCCTAAAAATGTATCACGGTTTCAACAAGAAAGTTAAGCGGCACAACTATTTTCAACATTGAAAATAATAATAATACATTTTTCTTGAGCAGCAAATCGGCATATTAGAATGATTTCTGAAGGATCGTGACACTGAAGACTGCAGCAACGATTGCTGAAAATTCAGCTTTGCCATCATAGGAATACATTACATTTTAAAATCTATATTAACATAGAAAATTGTTATTTTAAATTGTAACGATATTTCACAATGTTACTATTTTACTGTATTTTTGATCAAATAAATGCAGCATCGACGAGCATATGAGATTTCTTTCAGAAACATAAAAAAATTATTTCATTGTTTAGTTTCTTTTACATTCGGATAAGGTCACATAATTCCTGGCATAAACAATAGTTTACTAGCAGCTGCCTAACGTCTTTTTTTTCTTAATGAGCGTTTACGTGCTTGTGTGGGTGTGGGTGTGGGTGTGGGTGTGTATGTGTATTGTCAGCAGTGACAGAGAGGGATGAGGCAGCAAATGGAAAAGCCCCTTAAATATTCCTGGAAATCCGTAGAGAACTGCACGTTCTGGTCAGCCACCAGTACATGGATTTGTACTCTGAATGTTTCTTTAATTTGTTTGTGTAGTTGAATATTTTTGTTTGTGGATTATTTCAGGGACAGTTTTATCCACACTTGTTGGTAGTTAGTTTTATTTTTGACCTCATGAGACAAGAGATAGGGAAATACCTGTACCTTAAGTAAAACAGGAACAAAATCAGGGACGAGATCCACTGAACTTTCCAACACAACTAACTGGGAATATTCGCTTTTGTTTTCATGAGTGACTCTGGATTTTTCCCAGTCATAATGTCCAGTAAAGATAGAGCTGAAATCAGTTGAGTTACTGTCGTCGTAATTTTACAAAAGGCATGTTGGGCCATGGAGAGCGTTTGTGAAACACCCAACCATCACTAAGGGTGTAACGTGTTGTATGCGTCAGATGGGATTTAACTTTTCTTGCTGAGAGTGTGAATAATGTAATTGGATGTGATCGTGTGTGAGTGTGAGCATCCCACATGGCTGTCCAAACATGGTTGTCATCTTCCTCCCAAAAGCCATTTATCTGTGCAACAAACCATTAACCGGTTAAAAAAATGAGAGTGCCTGTCCAAAAAAGTTTTTAATGGTTTTTTAGCATGTTGCTATTATGGCAATAATTATAATCACAATTATTTTGGTCAACACTGAGATAAAGATTATTTAAAATTATTACTCCGTGACTTTGGAAACATCATGCATTTATTGAAGTTTTTTTTTTAAACTGGATATTTGAATTATATTGCAGTTAAATAACTGAAATCAAATAAAAATGTTATTTAAAAAAATAACCCCCCCCCCCAAAAAAAAGCCATTTATCTGTGCAACAAACCATTAACCGGTTAAAAAAATGAGAGTGCCTGTCCAAAAAAGTTTTTAATGGTTTTTTAGCATGTTGCTATTATGGCAATAATTATAATCACAATTATTTTGGTCAACACTGAGATAAAGATTATTTAAAATTATTACTCCGTGACTTTGGAAACATCATGCATTTATTGAAGTTTTTTTTTTAAACTGGATATTTGAATTATATTG